ACGATCTATTCGAGGGCCTATCCCCTAAAGTAAACACATCAAACTTCGCGGATGATGGAGCCATCTGGATCCGCACTAAAAGCATGAACATGGTCCAAAATTTACTCCAAAAATCTCTTAATAAAATACAACAATGGGCTGACAAATGGGGCTTCTCCCTTAACTCAGAAAAAACAACAGGAATAGTATTCAAACATAAAACACATGAAACCCGCCTCCCCAATCCTCCAGCTAAATAATCAAACAATCAAATTTCAAAAACAAACCAAATTCTTAGGACTTATTTTCGATGAACATCTCACCTGGGATGCTCACATCCAAAACCTAACAACTAAATGCAGTAAAGACCTAAACACCCTAAGATGCCTAACTGGCTCTAACTGGGGAGCACCCAAAGATACCCTCCTCTCTCTCTACATATCACTAATTAGATCAAAACTAGACTACGGCTGCGCAATATACAACACCCTAAACAACTCTCTATCTAAAAAACTTGACTCAATACAATATCAAGCTCTCAAACTAATTACACGCACCCAACATGGCACCTCCTACACCTCACTTCAGGCCTTAACAGGAGAAATGCCACTAAGTCTACGCGGGGAACAGCTAAGCTTAAATTTCTGGGCCGCGTCCCAATCAAACCCTCTCATCCAAAACTTAATAAACCAAAACATCAGCCCCAAAAACCAAGCTCTAGCTCGTAAACACCCCTTACTTGCCTCAATATCCCAAAGAATAACAAACTACCTAAATGAACACCAAATTAAAAATCTTAAACAAAACTGCAAACAAACAAATATCTTCACCCCTAAACTTAAAATACCCAAAATAGACACAACACTAGCTAGCCAAATAAATAAACAAACCGACCCAAACATAGCTAAAACTACCACACTAGCATACATACACGAAAATTGGCCAAATTGGTGTCACATTTACACGGACGGATCCTCAGATCCGACCTCCAAACACACAGGTTTCGGAGTCCATACCACACAACCAACTAAAACCACACAACCCTTCCGACTCCCAAACAACCAATCAATATTCACGGCAGAACTAATGGGCATGGCCTCAGCCCTCCATAATCAAGAATCCAAAAAGCACAAAAAAATCCTAATACTTACCGACTCCCTAAGTGGACTGCAAGCCCTCCAAAACAAAAATACCAAAAACCGACCTAAATTAATAAATCAAATACTTAAAAGCTCCAACGACCTAACTAAGGCAGGCAAAAAATAACCTTCTTGTGGATACCCGCCCACGTAGGAATATACGGTAATGAAAACGCCGATAAAGCAGCTAAACTATCCCTCAAAATCCCAGAAATAAGCTTAAACTTACCCATCTCAAAATCAGAAATTAAAAGTGTAAACAAGCAAAAAATCACAAAAAATGGCATAACCTATATCTAAACTCAAATAGCCAAACCAAAAATTCTCCATCCATCCAAAAAAATCGACAGAGTAATCACTAAGCTCCAAACAGGACACACCAACCTAAATAACCACCTAAATTTTTTTTAAAAACACACTACAGGTAACTGCCCACACTGCAAACAACCAGAAACCCCAGAACACGCACTCATCCACTGCACACACTACCTAACACATCGAATCGCATTACAAACCACCCTCAATCTAAACAAGGCTCTAACTCTAGAAGCAATACTAAACCCACAAAATAAACTAGAAAACTTCAAGGCCTTAGGCGTATTCTTAATAAAAACGGAACTAATAAAACGCATCTAAAAACACAATAACCTACCAAATCAAAATCACATAAACAAACAAACATCCACCATACCCAGCTCCCTTAGTTCTCCTCCCCAATCCCATCGGCATCTATTCCAAATCTCAAAATTCCCAAATTCTATATAAGCAACCCCTAAAACCCCCCTCTTGGGTTGCACAGACCACTTTCGCCCCTTTCGGAAACACATTAAATGGCCTGGCTGGGCCCGTGTGCGAAATACGCATCAGTCGGAAAGCGCACGTTAAATCTCCAAAGTAAGTACGTAAGTAGTTGTCTCATAATTAACCAAAACATAAGCCCAAGAAACCAAACTCTAGCTCGCAAACACCCCTTACTCACCCCAATATCCCAAAGAATAACTAACTACCTCAATGAACACCAAACTCAAAATCTTAAACAAAGCTGCAAAAAATAAAATATCTTCACCCCTAAACTCAAAATACCCAAAATAGACACAACGCTAGCTAACCAAATAAATAAACAAACCGACCCAAACATAGCTAAAACCACCACACTTGCATACATACACGAAAATTGGCCAAATGGGTGTCACATATACACTGACGGATCTTCAGACCCGATCTCCAACCACACAGGCTTCGGAGTCCATACCACACAACCAGTTATATCCACACAATCTTACCGACTCCCTAACAACCAATCTATATTCACGGCCGAACTTATGGGCATGGCCTCAGCCCTGCATAACCAACAATCTAAAAACAACAATAAAATCCTAATTCTCACCGACTCCCTTAGTGGACTACAAGCCCTTCAAAACAAAAATACCAAAAAACGGCCTAAATTAATAAACCAAATACTTAAAAGCTCCAACGACCTAACAAAAGCAGGCAAACAAATAACCTTCTTGTAGATCCCCGCCCACGTAGGAATTTACGGCAACGAAAGCGCCGATAAAGCAGCTAAATTATCTCTTAAAATACCAGAAATAAGCCTAAACCTACCCATCTCAAAATCAAAAATTAAAAGTGTAAACAAACAAAAATTAACCAAAAAATGGCATAATCAATATCAAAACTCAAATAGCCAAATCAAAAAAGTGCTCAGAAAACCACTAGCCAAACCTAAAATCCTACACCCCTCTAAAGAAATTGACAGATTAATTACAAAACTCCAAACAGGACACACGAACCTAAATAACCACCTAAAAAAACTTAAAAGACACACCACAGGCAACTGCCCCCACTGCAAACAACCCGAAACCACAGAACACGCACTCATCCACTGCACCCACTACCAAACACACAGAACCACTCAACAAACCACCCTCAATCTAAATAAGGTTCCTACTCTAGATGAAATACTAAACCCTCAAAATAAACTAGAAAACTTCAAGGCCCTATGCGTATTCCTAATCAAAACAGACCTAATTAAGCGCATCTAAATACTAATTAATCTACCAATCCAAAATCCAATAAACATACAAACACCCACCTCACCCGGCTCCCTTAGTTCCCTCCTCCACCCACCTCGGCATTTATTCCAAATTTAAAAATCTCAAAAATTCAATATAAGCAACCCCTAAAAGCCCCCTCTTGGGTTGCACACACCACTTTCACCCTTTTCGGAATACACTAAATGGTCCGGCCAGGCCCGTGTACGAAATACGCTGCAGTTGGAAAGCGCACGTTAAATCTTCTATATCAGTCAGTAGTTGTCTCAGCACTAAACAATCAGCAATCTAAAAAACAACCAAAAAATCCTCATCCTAACCGACTCCCTCAGTGGACTACAAGCCCTCAAAAATAAAAACACTAAAAACCACCCCAAACTAATAAATCAAATACTCAATAGCTCAAACAACTTAACTAGGGCAGGTAAACAAATAGAGTTCATTTGGATCCCCGCCCACGTAGGAATCTTTGGAAATGAAAAGGCAGATAAAGCATCAAAATTATCCCTTAAACTCCCAGAAATAAGCTTAAACTTACCCAGCTCAAAATCAGAAATCAAAAGTCTCACTAAACAAAAAATCAACAAAAAATGGCAAAATATATACCAAAACTTAAATAGCCAAATCAGGAAAGTACTCAAAAAACCTAAATAAACCAAAAATACTACACCAATCCAAAAAAATCGACAGAATAATTACTAAACTACAAACAGGCCGCACCAAACTAAATAATCACCGTAAAATAGCTAATCTACACACAACAGGAAACTGCCCACATTGCAAACAACAAGAAACACCAGAACACGTACTCATTCACTGCACACACTACCAAACACACCGAACAACACTACAGACCACCCTAAATCTTAAAACCGGACTTACACTAGAATCAATCCTAAATCCATAAAATAAATTAGAAAAATTCAAAGCCTTAGGTTTATACCTAATTAAAACAAGACTAATTAGTCGCATTTAAACCCCAAATAAAATAATAAAACCAAAACTACCTTATCTAACAACCACCCAACACACACAGCTCCCTAATTAGTTCGTCCCCCACCCACTCTTGGCATTCTTTCCAAATCTCAAAATTTCAAAATTACTATATAAGCAACCCCTAAAGCCCCTAATTCATAGTCTTTTTATTGTTCAAATTACTGATAAAACATATTTTAACTTGTTCCTTCTAACCATATTTCCAAACAATTCCAAACAATTCCAAACAATTCCAAACCATTCCAAGTCATTCCAAACATTTCCAATGTTGGAAATATGTTTGGAAATGTTGCCATTCCAATTTTGGATTTTTTGGAAAGATCGATCTTTCCAAGCTTTGGAAAGTTTGGAATGAGCGATCTTTCCAAAGCATTCCAACGTTCATTCCAAATTGGAATGGACGCTATTTGGTCTTGTGTGAAGTGCTGCGATGGTTCACCAAGAAAAGTCATCACCGAAACACATCTGTGCTGTATCTCACTCAGAACTTGTTTGCTCAATCGCCGCAACATCGCACCATCAGTCTGAATGCTCACTACATGGTCCTCTTTAAAAATCCGAGAGATGCATCGCAGATCAACAGTCTGGCTCGCCAGGTGTTTCCAGGCAAAGTTCCTTTTCTGCGTGAAGCCTATGAAGACGCTACCCGTGAGCCTTACAGTTACCTGTTCTTGGACTTGAAGCCCACCACGTTGCAAGACCATCGCGTACGCGCCCGCCTGTTTTCGAGATCCGAATTACCCCTCGTGTATGTGCCGATCCTATGAGATGAAGAGACTTTCATAAAAGGAGGTGAACCCTCAGACCTTCCTTCAGTTGACCTACATCCATCATGGGGCAAAGACGGAAACAGGTTCATCCTACGAGGGGAAAGAACAAAGACAAAGAGATGGTGAATGATGTCTATGACAGTATGGTCTCCCCCTCATCGCTACAGGGACTTGTGACCTCTGTATTTCACAAGACTCCTTCACCTCCAGGATCGTCTTCCTCTTCAATGGTACCCGTGAACATGCATCGTCAGCAGCAGCCATCACCACGTCCTTCAACATCATCAGCACCTTCACCACCCTTGTCACCACATGATCTTCAACGCTTTCAACCTCTGCAACAGCAACAGCAGCAGCAGCAACAGAAGTCCACGCCAGGTCCGTCTTCCTCTTCGATGGTACCCTTGAACAAGCATCGTCAGGAACAACAACGGCCTTCCTCACCAGCACCCTCACCCCCACTTGATCTTCAACGCTTTCAACGTCTGCAGCAGCAGGACACCCCACGAAGGAAGAAAAAAGACAAGAGACCGTCTATTTTTCCGACAAGGGATGCGACAACCCTTGCCGTCAAAGGAAGAAATCGTCTTTTGCAGTGGTTTGCGATTGTCGTGCGGAACCTGAGAGCAGGACACATCCCATTGAAAGCTCAACATAAGACGTGGTTGCAGAGACATAATGATACCCTGACTAAAATTGTCAATCCACGTCTGCCTATGGATGAACGTCTTGACTACCTGATGCAACGCAGTGGCAGTGGAACACTTGCAGGGGTCTTGACACGCATTCTGTTGCAATGGCAAAATTATCTTCAAGCACCACTCCTCAAACAGGGTAACACCAGGCGCCACCGACCTACAACAACAACAACGATGACTACTAAGCCAAAAGTAAAGGCTCATGAAAATGTCATGAAAGCATATCAAGCTGATGCTCTCAGACGATTGGTGCACCTGCGGACCCAAAGAAAGTCCAAGAAGTCAGATCAACAGTTGCAACTCCCTCCTGCCACTGCCTGATAAAAGAGAGAAGCTGCAGATCAGGTGACTCATTCAGGCTAACACCTCCATGCAAGAAAGATGTCTCAGTGCCTCAGGAAACAGAAACACGCTCTGTGTCATTTGTGTGCTGCCGCTCCAGCGATGCGCAAAGCCATTCTCAAACATGCTCCTACTGATCTCATCCGTGCCCTTTGTGAATGTGTGGTGAACTTGTATGCAGGCAATATTCCCATGACCACGACGCAACGTCAAAACTTGCAACGACACGGTAAAGTCTTGAATACGCTCATGAAAAAACAAGTACCTCTAAGCAAGAAACGTAAACTTCTTCAACATGGAGGAGGATTATTAGGAGGACTCATACCTCTTATTGGTTCTGCCCTAGCCTCTTTGTTTGGAGGAAAGTAATAAATGGTCTGACACCAGGAAGGTTGGGATCAGTGTGTGGTGTGCCACCATGAAGTACGCACGCAAGATGGTGTTGGTGTCTGAAGACACATGGCAAAGTCTACAGGCCACCAAACAACGTCATCGTCAGACACTTCATACCCCTCTCTTGGAAAAGAAACGTCTCCAAAATTTGGAAGAGATGGACGCGTTGATGCAGAGGTCACAGCAGCCTTTTCACATGCGGGAACAAGAATACAACCAACTGTTGCAACACATGCTAGAGTTGCAGCGCCAACAGCACAACAACAACCACAACAGCAACAACAACACCATCAAACCACTACAACCCAAAGTGACACCACCACTACCACCGTCATCACCATCAACAATGGACACCACAGGTAGACCTGCCCCTCCACAACAAGTGATAGACGAAGTGGTCATGAGTGTTCCTAAAGCCCTGTCCAGTAAAGCCATGAATTTGATGACAAGGATTCAAAACAATCCAGACTTGAGTTGGACTCCAGAGGGAACCCTGACCATGGAAGGGAAACCTGTCCCTGGCACACACATGGTGGACTTGATCAACGATTTAGTGCGTCACCGGAAAACCAAAAAGGGACCTGCAGGTTGGACCTTTTTGAGTCACCATTTGGCCAACAGTCATGCCCCTCATGAAATAATTGGAAATCCTCAACGATGGCAATGGATGCAGAAGCAGCAGCAGCAGCAACACCATCCTCATGCCACACCAGAAACACCCATAACCCAGTTCTCCCTCCCCACGTTCTCCCCGCAAAGTCACAAAGAGAGAAGAAGAAGGAGGCGGCAGCTGGATCCACAAGCGGAAGAAGAAGAAGAAGAAGAAGAAGATGAGATGCCACCCCCACCTCCTTCGTGGCAACTGGATCCACCAGTGGAGGAAGAAAAAGATGTGATGTCAACCCCATGGTTGATGACTCCACCTCCATCTGATACCAAACAGGACAGAGTCATCAACAGGCGAGGTTCATGGCTACCCTTTAGCACCACCTAAGAAAAAAATAAATCTCTCCCCTTCTCTATAAAAAGGCCATTCATGTAGGAAGTGGCATCAGTCTGAGAGAAATGAAGCGACAGACCAAGACGCGACAGAGCATTCTTCCCTCTGCTGCTGCTGCAGGGAAACAAAACAAAGGATTTCCTACTTCCCTTTGGACGGCCTGGTTGGAAAAAACCTACTTTCATCCTGAACATCCTGCAAGTTTTGGAGGCTGGCGACCTTTGTGGAAAGCAGCACGCATCCACGCTCAAGATGCAAGAACCAGTAAAAGCAAGAAGAAAACCAAGCCATCGCAAAGTCAAATCAAGCGTTGGTTGCAAACCAAAAGTACCTACACCTTGCACAAACCAGCCAGACGCTCCTTTCCCAGAGACCACTATCGTGTGGGAGGGGTCGATGAACTGTGGCAAGCAGATTTGAGTGACATGATTGCCTTTCAAGACGACAACGAAGGATTCAAATATCTGCTGTGCGTGATCGATGTGTTTTCAAAGATGGCATGGGTGCAACCCCTGAAGGCCAAGAGCAGTTCTGCTTTGACAGAAGGTTTTCAAACCCTGCTGATGCAACAAGCCAAAGATCGACTCCCTGCTCAATTGCAAACAGACAAAGGCAGAGAATTTGTCAACCGTCCTTTCCAGGCTCTCATGACGAAGCATGGCATTCATTTCTACACCAGTCAAAATCCTGAAACGAAAGCAGCCGTGGTGGAACGGTTTCAAAGGACTCTGAAAAATAAAATGTGGCGATACTTTACACAGCATGGGACCAGACACTATTTGAAAGTCTTACCCCAGTTGATCAAGTCGTACAACCGTCGTGTGCATCGGACCATTGGCCAGCGACCTGTGGACGTCCTCCCAGGAGATCCCCTGTCAGAAATTCGGGTGTTAGACTACATGGAGGAAAAACAACAACAACAACAACGGCTTCAGCGCAAAAAGAAAATAACAGCACAAAGACTGTCGTCCCCCAAGACAAGATCCCCCTCTCTTTTACTGCCGGGCACCCGTGTACGTCTGAACAAAACCAAAGGCACCTTTGAGAAAGGTTATCTCCCCAATTGGACCACCGAACTGTTTACGGTGGACCGGTTGGTGACAGGGAGAACACCTCCTGTGTATCGGATCAAAGATGATCATGGTGAAGTCCTCCAAGGAACTTTTTACCCTGAAGAAATACAACCCATCTCTAAAACAGACGATGTGTATGCCATGGATCGCGTGCTAAAAAGACGTCCAGGACCGAAACAGGGTCAAGAAGAGGTCTTGGTGAAATGGACTGGCTACCCTGCCAGTTTTAATTCGTGGATCCCTGCAGATCATTTACAGATAAAATAAGGAGCATGCTGTCTCTCAGACTCATTCAGAGGGTTGACACACGCGATGACAGAACCGCCACCACCACCACCACTGTCATCACCTCTGCAGAGAAGCCTCTCAGCATCTGTGGGTACCGATGAACCACCCCTTGCTGCTGCACCTCGTCATCACCAGCGCCGACACTCACCTTGGTGTTGTTTTGGCATGACGTTACCCCGCAGTGAAGTCGTGTTTTTTGCTCAGATCATTGTGATATATGGCGTGATCATCATGAGCATGGTACAGTTGGCCTTCGGCCTTCGTGGGAGAGAAACAGTTGTGGACAGCCCTGCTCTCCAGTTGTTTGGGATACATACTTCCACCACCCACCTTGGCCGCCTCACCAGGCATACCCACGACGACCCCGTCCACCAGAAGACTTCAACTTGATACCTCATCCACCCAGAGTTTTCTACCCTAACTCACGTCATCATGGCTGCCACCTTTTTTTCGAAACAAGAGGTGGGCGTCAGCGAAGTTCACTTTCCGATGACATGGTACAACGTCGCCCCACCCTTTGACTGGTTTGCGCTGAACCTCAAACTGAAAAAAGACACCCTTGTGTATGAAAGCGCGGGGAGCGCTATACCACACCCACAGTATGGTGTCGTCCATTATGAAAGCAAGAAGATTCCTATCGAGAAAGGCGTCTATTCATCTGAAGATTTGGTGAAAACCCTCAACCGTTTGATTCAGGAACATATTACGGATGTCTTGAAAGAACAGCCCTCAGACAGCGTCCAAAGTGATGGAAGACGGTTTGTCATTGATGTCAAGTATCCCGCAGATAGTCTTCGATTTGACATGCTTGAAGATGGAAAGGTGCGATTCCAAGCCCCTCAAGAAGTAGCAATCAATCATCCTCTCATGGGAAATACTGGTGGACCACTCTATTCCACGGAAGTGATCATGCCAAGTCCACTCTCGAGAAAGCTCGGATTTGTTCAACTACCGCTCCTCGGTGAGGAGGACTATAAAACCTACACAGAGACGGCCGTTCCCTTGACTGCCTTGGCCCATTGGCAAGTGGGGGCTACTCCCATGACCGGTGGCTATGTGGAAATCACAGGTGACACAAAAGCACATCGTCTGTCAGGATTTGATACTGTGTACATTTACACCAACCTGGTCGAAGATCAAATTGTGGGCAATACGATGGCTCCCTTGCTGATCTACGTGCCTGTGTCAAAGAAGATGATGCAAGACAGTGTGGTGATTAAAAGCCCTCAGCACATTCACTACCTTGGGTTGCGTCATGGTTCCTTTGACGGTATTAAACTCTATATCATGGACGACACAGGGCGACCCGTGCCATTTCAAATGGGGAAAGCCATCATGACACTTCACTTCAGACGCCGCTACTAACGCAGAAAACAACATGTTGGGACACGCAATGGCACACCAGATGAATCGAGGACAGTTTGGCCAGCGTGGGAGTGGTATCAAAGTATACAAAGGACGTTATCATCAACGTGGCAGTGGTCTTGGAGGTATCTTGAAGATGGCGTTGCCTTTCCTTAAATCTGCCGGAACATCGGTGCTCAAGATGGGTAAAAAGATCCTGCCTGGGTTGGTGAGTGATGTGGTTGGAGGCAAACGCAAATGGTCAGAGAGTCTGAAACATCGCGGCACAGCAGCCCTGATGGATGTCTTGGAGGAACGTGAGGAGCCGAGACCCCCTAAAAGCCGTAAAGTCGTCCCAACCACCACCACCACCACCACCCACCAGAAACAGCGTAAAAGAAAAAGAAAAACGGTTTAAAGGTCAGTCCTCATCAGACTTTCAACCTGACCAGATGTCCTTCAAGGCAGAGAAAAGGGTGAAACATCCATCATCATGATGCGCCAAGATGCTTGCGAATGTTCAAAGGCCCAGTTGGATCTCTTTACTGTACCCCCTGTGTCCACCTCTGTGCAAGAGGGTCAGTGGATTCGCTATAGTCCCTTGGCACCACCCTCTGTAGCAGGGCCACTCCAGTTTAACATTTCCAATCCCGTGAACGCTTACATTGATTTGAAACAGTGCTACCTGAGAGTATGTCTACGCGTGACGAAAGATGATGGCACGGATACCGTTCTAGCGGATAACCCCGTATCGACAGTCAACAATGTGATGCATTCCCTGTTTCGCGAAGTGCGGCTGCAAGTATGACACAATCAGTTGGAGATCACACCCTCCATGGCACTTACCCTTACAGAGCCTACTTGGAAACCCTTCTGAGTTA